TTTTTACGTTGGTTAAATTTGCAAAAATCTAGACGATTTGAATTCCTGTTGTCTAACACTATTCACCCAGTACTGTACAGATACTGGCGTCTCTCGGTTGCTGTACTGGTTGCTGTGGTCGATGTCATCGTGATTTGTGTATGGTGCACAAAGTGGTGCCCAAACAGTTTCTGTTTTGATTTGTGTTAGCTATATAAAATATAGAATATAGGAAAAATTAATAATATATGTTCATGTGTATTATGTTTGAAATTTTTTTATTAAAACTGCGAAATGTTATTTGTGGTTTTTTTTTTAATTTCTGCCAACAAAAATTTTTGTGACACCCGTCTTTGCTCTGTATCAACTAAACAATAAGCTATGGCAGGCAGACCAGTTGAGTTCAGTGCATCGGAAAGAAAACGTAGGAGAAAAAAAGCAGAAAGAAGATTATATTAGAAACTCCCGCTTCGAAAGATGGAGTTCCTACAGAGCCGTGAGAATCTGGACATCTACCAGAAAGATTTTCTCTCCCCCTCTTCTCCCTCTCCTTACCTTTCCCCGTGTCTTTACATCTCTCCTCTACGTTTAACGTAAAAGATTCTCAAGTCTTATCTCTCTCTCTGTCTCTGTCTGTCCGGGTCTGGACAAGATAGAGTTTCTACAGAGCCATGAGAATCTGGACATCTACCAGAAGGCGTTCCTGCCCCACTCGCTCTCCCTCCCTCTATTTCCCATTTTACTGCATCTGATAGTCCTCTCTCTTTGTCTATGCAGGTCTGGACAAGATAGAGTTTCTACAGAGCCACGAGAATCTGGACATCTATCAGAAGGCGTTCGACATCATCGAACACTACTTCGGCTCCGAGGAGGAGGACACGAACGTGGCGCCATCTGTCGACGAGAACGCGCAACAGTTTCAGTTCAACCCGAGCGAGGGCAACGTGCCGATGGAGGGCTTCCAGTTCTAGACGTTTGCTTGTTTCGTTCGCAGCGCGGTCGATCGCGGTTCGCCGGCCGCTAGGGGGCGCCGCCGCTGCGGGGCGTCGCCGGCGATGGCGGCACGCGTATGTTCCTCTCGCTGACGATCTTCTCCGTATTTATTTCGTTTCGGTTTCGACGACGAGCGGGCGGTGGCGCCCTCGCGGGGGGGGGGGGAGTAGGGCATGGCCCGTGTCCACGCGGGGGCAGCACCGTCGCGAGGTGCGCGCCTCCGTCGGGCGCCTAGATGTTCGGCGGCGCCCTCTGAGAGCGCGTGTTAGCCGCCGCGCGGCCGGACGCGAGGGTGCCTCCCCTAGAGGGAGCCACTGCACGCCGTCGGTGTGTTCTAGAGCGTATGTTCCTTCGCTTGAATATGTAACCTCAATCATATCACGCAGACCAGGAGCGCATGAGCGCCTGTCTATAGTTATCAGCGCCCTCTACTTCTCACTCGTTCAGCGTTCGTGTGCGTCCCACAAAAAAAACGTCCGGAATCCGGGGAAAAAACATCCGGAATCCGGGATAAAAACATCCGGAATCCAGGATAAAAACATCCGGAATCCGGGGTAAAAGATCCGGAATCCGGGAAAAAAAATCCTGAGTTCTGGGATCTTGAGGAACCATTTCTCTGGGCTCGAGTGTCCTCCTAGAAAATGGGTCGTGGTTCCGGGATGTATGGGAAAATCATCCGTTAGGATGTTTCGTTGTAACTTGTAAAAGACGCGTAGATACGTATTCGGCTAAGATTTTGTCGTCCTGAAAATAGGAAAACTCCCGGGGACATTTTTTTTCTCCCGGTTGTTTCTCTCACATGCATTTATCTCAATGTTCCGCACGTCGCCATGCCGACGGGCAAAGTAGGGGGCGCCACGCGACACTCGCAAAGCGCTACGCGCGCACACGCACACACCCGAACACGCACGTACACACACACATACAGACACACACACAGAGACGACACCACGCGACGCCCGAACCCCACGCCAGGCTGTCTGGGAGGGCGCCACCGCTCACCCGCGCGCGTGCGCCACGGTGCCCTCCAGGGGGCGCCGCGTGCACGCGTGGCGGCGGAAGGGGGGCGGCCCGGTATTGCGACGTGACGACCCCGACTCAACAATATCTTTTCTGAGACGCGACGCGTTTTTGGTTCTCAGCGCGCATGCCTCGGCTAGCGCCATCTAGCAGGCCTGTATGCTCGACGCGCCCCCGCGGCAGCAGCGACTCACGTTGGTGATTCGTGGTTTGTTTTCTCCCTCCCGCCCATCCATTCATTGATTGATTGATTGATTCAAGAGCGTATAAAGAAGGAGAGCGTACAACGGTGAAATGCTGAAACCATGTTGCAGTATTAGTCGAATTAACAAACTTTTCCCGTTTTATTTTGACGATTGTTTGCAGTATTATTGATCAGCTGTCCTACCTTGTTCATATAAAACAAACCGCATGTCCCTACGATGCCCCTACGCTGAGATAATGAGCGGTGAAAATCTGGTATTTTCACCGAAAACCGACTCGAGATCAGTGTTTACTGTGACAGTCTCACGCTTTGAGATAACTTTGGGAAACCTCGCGTGTTTCCGTCAATGATTGACAAATGGAATGAATGACGTCTGTTATTGATTGCAATAGTGATGACCCCCACCTGTGCCCACCTCACGCTGGATGTATAGTAATCTCTGTAGTACTGACGTGAGTCAGCGCTACCATGGCGCTACACAGCGGTGACCGGAAGCAACAGACTGGCCACAAAGCGAGAGAGGGTTGCAGTAAACAGGGATCTCAAGTCGGTTTTCGGCGAAAATACCAGATTTTCACCGATCGTTATCTCAGCGTAGGAGCATCGTAGGGACATGCGGTTGGTTTTATATTAACAAGGCAGGACAGCTGATCAATAATATCGAAGCAAAGAATCGTCAAAATAAAACGGGCAAAGTTTCTTAATTCGACTATTACTGCAAGATGATTTCACCGTTTTACGCTCTCCTTCTTTATACGCTCTTGATTGATTGATTGGTTGATTGATTGATTGATTGATTGATTGGTTGATTGATTGATTGGTTGATTGAATGATTGATTGATTGATTAATTGATGCTGCAGAAACAGTGGTGACAGGCAGTTATAGAATCTCCGTGATCAGCTAGCGCCATCTACAGGTCAGTATGTGCGACATGCCTCTGCGCGCGAGAGTGGCGGCAGTGCCTCAGCTCACGTGGAATATTATTGTTTCTCCCCCCCCCGTCCGTCTCTCCGCCCTC